CCGCGTGATGGCCGCCTGCGCAGAACATTTTAAAGTAGACTTGCTGTAAATCTTTCATAATTTTCTTATTTTTACAACGTTAGCAAATGTATTTATCACTTTTTTTGGTCTAGATATAATTATTATATACTTTTATGCATACTCAAAGACCTGGAAAATTATTATTAAGTTATAATACCAAGTACTATAGTGCCCTGTGCCCGAGGGTATCTACATATACGCTCCTAACATTCTTGAGAAGCAGGTGTTCCAAACTAGACTACCTTCCCCTTCTGGGTACAACGGGCCCATTGTACAAATATACATGGACACATTTTAAAGTTAACTATACGCAGTAACTCATTGTAACGCCTTAACTATTCATCGTAGAGATATGCCGTCGTGGACTTTTTTGTAGGGAATTTAACGCTCTATAAAAAATGTTCTGAATTTTTTACCTTACAATTTTTCTCTATCTGTTGTCGTTTTCGCAGCGTTTGAAGTTTATTTAGAAACATCGATTTTCATCATTTTCACAACTTTAATTGTTTATAAATTAAATTCTTGCTCATATGACTTACGGCAAAAATGACCATGAGAATTCAAAAAAAAAAACTGATTCGAATGGTGTTGGTCGGGAATGGTTGGAAATTATCGTGAAAATATGCCTGATTTTTGCTTAATTTGACTGGTCTATAAATAGACGGGGGTGAGTTAGTAAAATAGAAATATTAAAGCCAAAAAAGAAGAAAAAAATGTACAGGATGATCAATTTACATGACTCTCTCGTTTTCCGAAAAAGACTTCACAATTACTTATTTCTTTAAAAATCACACACCCCGGCAAAATGTATCACCATCCTAAAATTTTTATTATATATTATATATTATATCCAATTATAGACCTGTTAGTTTAATTAACAATTTTGCCAAAATTAAAAAAAATTAAAAGAATTAAAACAATGACTGATTAAATTTTTAAAGATAAATAACATGCTTCATAACGATCAGTTTGGTTCCTTGGAAGGCAAAAGCACATCGGATGCAATGCATGAGGTTAAAGAAATCACTTAACAACTTAGATTTGAGTATAAAATGTATTGCACTCTTTCTTGATTTAACTAAAGTGTTTGACATGGTAAACCATGAAATATTCCTAAATGTATTAAATCATTATGGTATTCCTGGGATCGTGTTAGACGTTGTCAAAAGTTATTTTATAAATCGACAACAATATGTGAACAACAATATAAGTGACTCAAGGTAGGTGAGAATAGGTGTACCACAAGGCACATTGTTAGTGCCTACTCTCTTTATTGTCTATATAAACTCCATGTTACAATTTAATATAAATGCTTTTTCAGTAATATCGTGCTGATGATACAGTGGATTAATTAATGCTAATACATAGGATACAAGAGAAATAGTACAAAATAGCTTATTTCAAATATAAAACTGGTTAGATATGTATCAACTTTATTTAAATGTGGATAACATAAAGTTTGTTACCAATGTAAATCTATCTGGCTTTCATAAAATTGATTCTTATTATTACAAATCTAAATGATGACATACAAGAAGAGTAAACTATATAAAATACTTGGCCATAATTATTGATAAAAATGTTAATATTGATCACTTGACAATTAAAGTAAGAAAACTGATATACAAATTCTATTAGGACCAGTATTAAGTAAAAAATTTTTGATTTTGGTTTACAAGGCTCTTACTGAGTCACTTTTTCGTTGTGGTATTTTAGTTTGGGGGTCAGTATTGAAATATAGTAAAAAAATTAAATGTTATTCAAAACTATATTTTGAATATAATCTTTAACAGGAATAAACTGTACCCCACTAGACTACTATATTCTGATGACATAAGTGACATTCGTTTCATATATATTCTTAATGTCTGTTTGTACATATACTTTTTAAAATGATGGATTAAAAAACTATGCTGCAAATAAATATTAAATAAGAAGCAATTCATTAGAGCTCCTTAAATTTCCTCCTAGTAATAAAAACATTAATCAAAGAATTGTAACATATTTGGCACTTAAATTTTATACCATTGTTCCTAGAAGAATCAGACAGATCTATAATGCAAGAAAGTTAAAACTTGTATTATATGTAAACATGTAATGATTGTGAATGTATCACAATCATTATCATCCTTTTTGTTACCTTCTAGGTAACAATTATTAGGAATAAGTCCATAAATTGTACCTATTATCATAATAATGTGTTTCTTAATTTTTGCATTTATAAATAATAGCACAAACCTACTGTTTTATGATACATAACTAATTATATCTATAAATAGTATACTGCTTGTGTATTAAACGTGTTATTATTTCACTTAAGTGCATATGTTTCTTGTGTGTCTTTGTTAATAATACAGGGTGCTCCCAACCAAAAGTAGGCACCCTGAATAACTTTGGAGATAAAATTTTCTTGAAAAATTGGTGAAACACGTCGACCTTGTTTCCAAGGGGGACATATTTTAATGTAATACTTGTATACCTATCATCATCCCTCTACCTACACGGTCCACTCCCTCAAAAAAATTTAAATGGCAAAGGGGGTCGAGTGATACATCTTTGAATGGTCTTTCAATTTTCTACGTAACTGTGTATTTTTTTTAAACTTTTATCGATTCGTTCCTGAGAAATAATTGTTTCATTATTTTAGGTTCGGGAAATAAAAATAAAAGAAGCAGTTTAAATTATCGTATGTATTGTTCAAAATGACCTCCACCGACTTCCATACGTAGTATAGTCTGTTTTGAAATTCTGTACGAACATTTCTAAACACATCTGGAGTCAATAAACGGCATTCTGAACAATTCTTTCATGTAACTCTTCCAGAGATGCTGGTTTTGTTGCAAATATCTTCGGGCCATTCCACAGGACCTCTTCTTCCAATCCATCGCTCAGGAAACCGATTATTCAAAAATTGCCGGACTGCTAAAAGCAAAATGTGGCGGTGCCCCATCCTGTTGAAAAAACAGTTCGCCCTCTAAAATATTATCGTCTTCTACGAGGATTTGGGTAATCATTGGGTCGATGTTATTTTCTAACAGATCGAGGTACCTTTCGCCATTTAAATTGTTAGGATAAAAAACGGCCCGACAATGTGATCCCCTAAGATGCCAGCCCAAACATTTAACTTCTGAGGCCCTTGAGTATGAGTTTCCATGAACAAATGTGGATTGGTATCACTCCAATACCTACAATTGTACCTGTTTACCTCCCCATTTAACTGAAATGTCGATTCATCAGAAAAACACGTCGATTCATCAGAAAAACACGTATTGTACAGTAGATTGGTATTACCGTTTAATTGTTCACTAAAAATCTCACAAAATTCAAGTCGACAATCGGGATCATCTTCGTTTAATTCGTGTACCAATTTAAATTTATGTGGATGAAATTTGTGGGCCTTTACAATTCGATGAACACTGCTTCGTGATACACCGGAAGCCTCAGTTACTTTCCTGATCGATTGAGTATTATCCATCTGCAAATGTCCCAGAACTGCCACTTCGACTGCTTCATTCCTAATTGGTCGCTGAGGTTCATGCTTTTTGTTTCTTACAGAACCTGTTTCCATAAATGTTGTCAATAATTGTAAAACATACTGAGAACCAACCCTTCTATCTGCGTGATATCATTGAATATGCGCTCCGTAGCTCTAGCACAATTATCGTTTTTAAAATAAATGCTGACAATTTCTATTCTCTCCTGAAGGGTATAAACATTTTGAGAACTCACTCTGGTAAAATGTGTCTCGATTTAAAATTGGTTGTGAACAAATTAATGTTCAAGGGCTATCAAATACTTATGAGTCTTTTATTATTCTAAAAACTAAACTGACAAGGAAAGTGTTTTTTGTCGAAAAAACTTGTGTTGATTTGAGAGCACTAAAAAATGTAGTTTTTTTTTAAATTCCAATACCCAGTGCCGTGTATTTTAGATTTTTTAAACGATTTCGATTGTGTGTAATCATAAAAATAAAATTATTTTCCTTAAGAACGAGTCGATAAAAGTTTAAAAAAATACAGAGTTATGTAGGGAATTGAAATACCTTTCAGGATGTATCACTCGACGTCGTGCCATTTGAATTTTTTGAGGGGTGGCCGTGTAGGTAGAGGGATGATGATAGGTATGCAAGTATAACATTAAAATATGTCCCTGAAACAAGGTCGACGTGTTTCACCAATTTTTCAAAAAATTTTTATCTCCAAAGTTATTCAGGGTGCCTACTTTTGGTGGACCCCTGTATTTACTTTTGTTAACGTATTAAGTTAATGATGTTAAATAAGTTAAAATTAAATTAAATGAAAATATATACGGTCAAGAAAAACATACCATTTGCTTACCCCGTATATTTTAGTTTTTAATTAATGTTAAGTGACATTGAAATAAAAATTATATAGGCAACAGCTTGTAATTTTTAAAATATCAATAATTAAAGAAATAAGGAAATTTTTATTTGATATTAGTTTTTTCTGGACATTTTATTATTTTAGGTACTATTAGAACTTAATTTACTTAATCAATTAAGATATAATGATAACGGAGTGTATGCCACATTTTCGTGAAAAAGCCTCACTGTGCAACGGTTCGTTTACTATGCCTGTAAACGTCTTTCAAGAAATAAAAATTGAAGTGGGAAACCTTTTACTAGCCTGAGAGATTTTTGACGGAAGTTTGCTAAATAATTATAAATACAGTGTGGAAACTTATGATGGAATAATTCTGTATGTTGAAATCAGAAATTTTTTGTAAAAATCCTCTGATAGATTGATTTTTGTTTTTAAAACGCCAATTTTTGCTAACAATTTCTTACCCTCTTACAGATCATCTCCTTTGAAAATTTTAAATGGCACAAGGGTTTGAGGTACACCTTGTTTGAAAGGTATTTTATTTCTCTATACACTGGTTTTAAATTTTTTTGAATTCGGTTAATCCATGTCCGCGTTTTAAAGGTTTAAAATCAAATATGATGAATATTTTTATGTGGTTTCGTGGACGAGTGGTAAGGACACTTGCCTCTCAACCTGGAGTCCGGGGTTCGATCCCCGGTCAAGGAACTATGATTTTTTCTAAACTAGAAATTATTCCTGGCATACTCGGACATTGGGTGTGTGTCCATTGTCTCTAAATGTGTAACCCTCTCCTGCATAAGGTATCTTGAAATACCTTCATAGATACAGGGTGTTATATTACCTGTGGTGTTCAATTTTTTTAATTAATCATTTAAATAGAATATTTCCGAATAAATGGATAGGCAGAAGAGGTGCATTAGAATGGACCCACAAGGTCCCCTGACCTGACTCCACTGGATTTCTTTTTGTGGGGCCACCTAGAAAACAAGGTTTAGCAAACAAAACCTGTAAACTTGCAAGAGTTAAAAGACAGAATAATGGCTGAAATAACGGCTGTTACTCCATAGATATTCGAAAACCTCGAAAAAGAATTTTACTTTAGACTGGGTTACTGTCAAGAAGAAGAAGGTGTTCACTTTGAACAACTCATTAATTAACTTTAATAAACTAACTAAATCTGTTTTTACCGTAAGTTTTATTAAAAACTCAGTTTTAGGATTTAAGTAAGAAATTTTTGAATTTAAGATATTCCAGCGTTTTGGCAAATTCTCTTATCTTAAAAGCTTATATACATTTTCCAAGAGAGGCAAGAAGTATAATTTGCGTCTTATTTCATGAGAAGAGAGTGGAAATATATGCCATTTTGCCCATTTTTCAAAACCGGCAGTTATATAAGTTATGTAGGAGCCTTCATATAATTAAAGTAATTGATACGTATGTGTTTATTTATATACAAGTAATATATACACTGTAGTTACTTGATAGAAAGTAACTATAATATGCACCAGCTCGGGAATCAGTATTGTGGACGGAAAGCCGGGATAGGTGTATGTAATATAAGTAACTGGCAAACATTCCGCTCCCTGTTCATGAACCATGTAGATAGGAACTTTAGTCATTAGTCATTGTAGAATCCGGATTTAAATATTACATGACGTCAATATCAGAAGGCAGATAGGATACCGATGTAAACAAATGCACAGAAATAATAAACATGCCACATGTACCAGATGACCAGATTGAAATAGGCGTATTTTAAACGCTGTCCAGACGCCTTCATGTGAAGTGGCATCCGTTACAAACAGCAAGACACGTCCTTTATTATTTTCATAGTTCTCGCCCCGACTGCTATCCTCATTCATACACATATCGTTTTTGCATTTGTGGGTTTTAACACCTTTGTTGATATTAAGCGGGTTGGCATTGCCACTGTCTCATCCATCTCCTCAACCAACACATTTTTGCGATGTTTTGACCACTTGCATCTGCTTTAATTTCGTTGCACACCGGCGATATGTAATTTTTCCTTAATATGGTGGATTCCACATGCACAGTAACGTTATTGTACTTTCCATCAGCACAATTTTGCAGAACCTGTTTAAAATGAAGGTTATCTAATTTGGTCCACGAAATGTTACACGCCATTTTAACTAAATCTAAATTAAATTGTTTTTGTCTGTCAGTAGCACTCGTACTCTCACACGTGTTTATGATTTAAGTTGCAACATGCTGCAAAACTTGTGTTTTCACTATCCATGACAATATTTTCTCATAAATATTGCACCAAAGTCCCCTTAAACTCTAACCTTTATTTATCGTTCTACAGCTACTCCTCGAAGGCGAAGTGAACGCGATGATTTCAAAATCTTCCACGACAGTATTCTCCGATTTAAAAAGTATACATACCCGCTGCGGTTACAGGTTGACTACTGGACAGTGTTGACAGAAAAATATCTTAACCCTAATTATTCGCAAATTGCAAGGTATCGTTTTTAAAGATTTTAGCTAAAATCTGTAAACCGCTAACAGCGATTTATAGATTTAAGTTGGATACTTTGGAAACGCACTCTCAACTTGACCTAGATAAAAATGTCCTTTTTATTTTTCACATCTGCTTCTTTTAAAACTGATATTATTTTGTGTTTTAATGTAGAGATGGGAAGGTAGTGACGACTTTTAGGTAGGTATAATATTCTAAATACCTAACGAATTGTAGATGTACCTAAAATTATAAAATTATTTCTTTTCATCTGCTTATTTGTTTACTTTGTTGTAGTTAAATTAATTGATTAAAATTTATCCGGTCCTGGAATCTAATATTAGGATCCAGACTCTAATCATTAGTCATTACTCATTACTCATTAGTCATAACTGTATTTTATGTTTTAGGAATTTTGTACAGATAGGAGAGTTTACTTGAAATTCTAAAAAATATAAGTAAAGAATTTGCCAGATCGCCGGCGATATCGTATTTGATTTTATATCTTTTAAAATGCTCTACTCGGACAAGGATTAATCGAATTCAGAAGAATTTAAAATCAGTGTATAGGAGATTAAAATAGGTACCTTTCAAACAAAAGGTATAACTCAACCCCTTGAGCCATTTAAAAATTTCGAAGGGGATGTTCTGTAGGGGAGGAGAGTTGAAAATGGCATGAAATTTTTATGGCAAAATTATCCGTTTTAAAAACAAAAATTTACCTGACTGAGGATTTTTTTCTAAAAAAAATTCTGTTATCGAGATACAGAATTTATTCTCATAAGATGCTTTTAAAAATAGTGAGAAATAATATCCTTAATAAAATGGTGAATAAACAATATTAATTCATTTACACTCTAGAAATATAATACAGGATGAGCCACGGTGGGTGGAGTATTAGAAGTATATGGAGAATGGATCAACCGATTGCTTTGAAATTTTGGTTACCAAGATAATCGAGTATGATCTCTCCAACTAAAATATTTTCGAAAGTGCGGTGTTGCCACTTATACGTAAAACTGGCAACATCTTCGTTATTTTAAATGGAATACCCTGTATATCTTTGCGTTTTTTGGATCGTCGTCTCTTTCTGAGTAACTTTTATTAATATTTCCCTATACCTATCTCAAGCCGTTTTCCAGATAATAATTCTTTTCTGAATTTATTGCCAAAAATTTGACTTTCAGTAAATCGTGTTTTCTCTTACCTACGCAGCAATTAAAAGACAATTTTTTAGTTGCGGCTAGGCAAGGCCTGGGGGCATTTCCTGCATTAATTAAATGTTTCGAATATCATACAGGGTGAGTTAGAGAACGCTTTCTACAAGTGACTTAGAAAAATGCACGAAAGTCAATTTTTTTAAATGGAATGCCCTGTATATTATTACTGATTCGGAAAGGCGAAACATTTACCTCTTTAAAAAAGGTAATATACTCTATACCTAATGCACACCGTTTTCGATTTATGGGCACTTTTCTGTAACCTTACCAATAATATTAGTCTTCTGGTATATTATAACGAGCGGGCCATGAAATTTTTGTTTTGTCATTTTGTAATGACAACACATGTTATTTTTCTAAATAAATTTGACGTTAGTGATATTTGCACCTAATTTGAATAGCTATGTAGCACAAATATGGCAGAAAATAATTATACAAACACGGTTTTAATTGATTTGTTTATTATCCATGGAGAGTGCAATAAGATTATCAGCAGAACTTGTAGAAGATTTAATGAGAAATATCCGAATTTGCCGCAGATCAGAGGAATTTTATAAATTTTGGTTCATCATTAAGAGAACAATAACAGTGTCAGTATTAGGAAAAAATAATAACTAAGCAGCAACAACAGTAACAAAGTCTAAGTAGCAATAACAAATAATACCAATAACAGTAATAAATATAAAAATATTAAAAATATTGTTATAATTGTTCGAAATGTAGACCGTTAACTTCCAGACACTTTTGTATACGACGATGGACGACGTTTGTTGTAGCAGCTCTTATTTCAGCGGGGTCCAAGTTTTCAATCTCTTGAATCACTCGACGTTCTAATTCTTCCCTGTTGTGGACTGCAGTTTTATAAACTCTATCTTTAAGAGTACCCCAAAGATAAAAATCTAACGGGGTAAGGTCAGGGGACCTCGGAGGCCAATTCCACGGTCCCAAACGTCTAATCCAACGATCATCGAAAAAGCGGTCCAACTCCATACTAATTTCGTGTGTACAATGTGCAGGAGCCCCGTCGAGTTGATACCAACAAGTTATATATTGTTCAATTGACATAATATCAAGGAAGTCTTCCACAATTGTTCTAATTATGTCTAAATATTTTCTGGAATTCAATTTTTCGTCGTATATGTAATATTTTATTTTGTCATCCATTAACATAAAAAACACATTGAAACTAAATTTGACTTGAAAGCCAGCCTCTCTAGTAACGTGGGGTCGTCTGTGGCCCAATAGTGACGATTTCGTGTGTTACAAATCCCTTCCCTAGAAAATTTTGATTCATCAATCCATATAATTTTCTTTAAAAAATTGGAGTCCTTTTGCATACGTACAAGTAACATTTCATAAAATTCTATTCTCTGTAGATAATCCTGAGGCATGAGAAATTGGACTCTTGTAAATTTGTAATTATGCATTTTATGGTTTGCTAGTATTCTTCGAATGGATGAATATGGCAATGCTAAATCCCGCTCAGCACAACGTATGGAATACTGGGATTTGCATGAAAATATGCTAGCACATCGATTTCATTGACCTCGTCAGATGTCACAGGTTTAGGTAAATTTCTTGCTTCTCTTAATGACGAACCAAAATTTATAAAATTCCTCTGAATTCGTAAAAACTTTCTGTTGTTCATCTGCGGCAAATTCGGATATTTCTCATTAAATCTTCTGCTGAAGTTCTGCTGATAATCTTATTGCACTCTCCATGGATAATAAACAAATCAATTAAAACCGTGTTTGTATAATTATTTTCTGCCATATTTGTGCTACATAGCTATTCAAATTAGGTGCAAATATCACTAACGTCGAATTTATTTAGAAAAATAACATGTGTTGTCATTATAAAATGACAAAACAAAAATTTCATGGCCCGCCCGTTATAATATACCAGAAGACTAATATTCTTGGTAAGGTTACAGAAAAGTGCCCATAAATCGAAAACGGTGTGCATTAGGTATAGAGTATATTACCTTTTTAAAGAGGTAAATGTATCGC